TACACACCTTAAAATACGTCCTTAGACCCTAAATCATTCTGTTAGATTCTCATAGCTTAAGCTTTAAACTTTACACCTTTTCCTATCCAGTCATTCCCCAGGAGACACAGGTGGTTGAGTCTGAGAGCAGTTATTGTAAAGCAAGTTCCTTTAAATAAAGGAATAGTAAAAGGTTATATTGAAACCTGTTTTGTGAGTTCATCACTCCCTTTTTCTGAGTCTGGTAACAAGGTAAACTGTCTTAACCTAGACCTGATTTTTACACATGAGGAGAACTGAGAAAGCGGTGGAAGCCTTAGGTAAAGAACTAGGTGCATGCTGCTCTTAAAGCTACAGTCAGTCAGTATCCTCAGAGATGTGAGAAGGATACGTTACAACTAGAAATATAATCTAAATAGTCGATGTGTCCATTAGAATGACAGAGACCCATTACCTAGACAGGTTACCCTAGTGATCTACATAGTTTCCTTGGGGACAGCTGTTGTAGGTCTTCGCCTGTCATAGAGAGCAGCATAGACCTTTGGCTGTCCACCAGGTCTGAGACTTTTCAGTAGAGGAGCTGGAGGGACTGACCTTACTTTGGCCAGGGAAAGTATAGCAATCAACCAAGAAAGTGTGCACAGTTTGAGCAGAACCCGGCAGCAGGTGAGGCATGGGGCAGTTTGCCCAGTGGTTGGCATTGCCCCAATCCAGGGAGAGTTGTGCCCATCTATCTTCATACCTCAGGGGTCACTCTAGGGGTCAGTTGTGTAATATGAGAAGCTTCAACATTTTAAATGTCGTATCCTGTAGCTCTCGGAAGCATTTGAAGACTATCTTTCTATTAGGTGTATCTGAATAGACAAATTTTGCTTGTTTCTAGTTGTTTTAGTCTTAACTTTGAAAATATATAGAGGCCTAAGTAAGACTTATTCTTGTAATTAACTTCACTAGTACTTAGTGTGACTACAAAGATAATTCTGAACACATTAAATAATGTTATTATTTATAAGGTGACTAACCATTAACTTGCATTTCTTAATTATCCTGAACAGTTTGCAATAAGTTAGTGGCTTTCATAAGACTAGGACTTTATGTTCCATCCCTGTTAGGTTTATTTTGAGTTGAAGCTTTTCCAGCATCATAATAAAACTTTTTAATCATAGATATAATCCGTAGAGAAATTGGCAAGTGTGAATGAAAATGGCTGCAGTAAGGAAACCTAAATTGGCTGGGTGGTGGTGGCACATGCCTTTGATCCCAGAGCTCAGGAGGCAAAGGGTGGCAGATCTCTGTGAGCTCGAGGCCAGCCTGGTCTTTAGAGTGAGTTCCAGAACAGCCAGAGCTACATAAAGAAACCCTCTCTCTCTCTCTCTCTCTCTCTCTCTCTCTCTCTCTCTCTCTCGCTCCACACACACAAAAAAAAGAAAGAAAGAAAGAAAGAAAGAAAAAGAAAAAAAGAAAAGACAGAAAGAAAAGAAACCAAAATAGCCATTGTGTGTGTGAAAAGGGGAAAAGTTTATTCCAAACGGCCAAGCTGTCTCCTGGGAAAGCAAGAACAAAGAACAGGCAGAAACTCTGCCTGAGGGGAGGGGAGGGGGGGTGTCCCAATATCACATGAGCCACAAAGGCACAGTAGACTTTCGGGACTTAGCAGGCAGCTCCTATGAGGAGGCATAGAAACTCACAAACTGTAAGTCCTGGGAGGCACTGAGAGAGATAGAACAGGCAGCTTCAAGGGAATGGGGACAAGGAAAGGGTTACAGACCCAGGAGCATACAGGCAGCTCCCAGTGGGAGGTGAAGAAGTTCCAGGAAGGAGCAGAGAGCCACGGAGAGTAGAGGGGATAAGTGTCGTGGTAACAAGAATGTCAATCAAGGGCTTCAAAAAGCAGACTGAGGAACCTGTCAGAAAAAAATGTCCAAAATCACAGAGGAAAAGTGTCCCTTTCCGTGTGATGGGGGCTGGTAGGGAGCGTCCTGTCACACCAGCGTGACTTTCACAGTAGAAGTAGACAACGCAGGGAGCTCCACAGTGATACTTGCCCAGCAGAAGGGGAGAGACAAGTGGTTAGAGCAGGCAGAGGAGAGCACAGCTGGAGAGTGTCTTAGGGAGTAGAACTGCCCACGCGGGCAGCCCAAAGGGCAGAGTAGGGATTTGCTCTGGCGGTGGACAGTCTGAAAAGGGAGATGCACTCATGGCTGGAGGCCCAGAAAGGGTGTAGAATGGAGGTGATGCCATGGCAAGTGGCCCAAAAGTGTGTAACTGGAAAGAGGACACGTACTGAGTAGGCAAGGGAAGATGGATGATAGTTAGGGGAGAAGAAGCACCTGAAGGGGCAGACTCTAGGACAGAATTTGTTAGGTGTCAGAAGCACACGATCCCTACACTCCTGAGCAGGGTCAGGTCAGCAGCTGGGTTCAGAGTGAGGAGTTCCTAGGAGAGGGAACTAACTCATTTAAGGTTTCAACACCAGATGAATAAAAGAAAAAAGAAAGCACAGGAAAGGACTCCTAGGCATGATGGAGGAGAAAGTTTATTGTAGATGTGTGGAATACCATAGCCAGAGGCAGGGACATCTGGGAGAGTTCAGAGTAGTGGTGGCCAGGCTGAAATGGGCCATGTGGGCCGGGGAGGGAAAGGGAGAGAAGGGACCGGGGAACCAGGTGCAGCAGCCAGGAGGCCAAAGGTCAAAAAAGCTTGCGTTGTGTTCTTATGTACCACTTGTCTCCTTATATCTAGAAAGATAAAGAGAGGGAGGGAGAGAGGTAAAATATGGCAAGGTTCTAACAGTAGTATTCTTGGGAGATAGCTTTATAGGTGAGTTTCCTTTTTTCTTTGTTCTACCAGGTTCTCTACATTGTATATATATTATTCTATAACACGAAGAAATCTTTATTTAGGGAACACAAGTCTTGTGTCACTTATCTGGCCTTGTTTTTGTAAATGTGATGAGTATACTGTGGAAAGATAAGGCAGGTGGCCCTAGTGTCCATGTGGGGCTGGACGCTCCACGGCCTTATCCCTCCATGGGGGACCCCTGAAGAATGGGGGGACTGAAGTGAATGGTCTCCCAGGATGGGATGGGTTTCAGACTCCAACTTTCTGAGTTATTAGGACATCACAAATTTGATGATTGTAAAAATGTTTCAAGTGGGGTGAGGTCGTGTGGGAGAGGCGATTTCATTGTGAAAGACATGTTAATAAAACTCCATGGTCCCTGAAATCAAAGGCATTGTGTTCTGAAATCTTTTAGGATAATGCGTTAAATATTTTGTCAGGTGGTATTTCAAATTTACAACTGATAGCTGTTCACTTATAACAATTATCTAAAGTACATTACTATGAATAGCTCATTCAAAGGAGTATTCTGTTTTTATTAAGGAAATTCTCATTGCAGTAAGAGTTGGCCTGTTATCTGACATGCAATAATGTATTGCAAAAGTCACCTTTGTCCCTAGTACAAACAAAGGCTCCGGGGCCTCCCTGTGTGAGTCAGAGCAGGCGGTTGAGCTTAAGGAGAGCTTTGTGCCTATGGGAAAGGCCCCTGCTAGCCAGGCTGAGGAAGCTCAGCCTAGCAGTGCTGGTCAGCCCTGCCAACACTGGGGCCCCATTCTCAAACCCGGCGCCTCTCTGAGAGGACCTCTGAGGCCCCCCTGCCAGTACTCGACTCAGCACGTTTTGAGCAGGAATAAAGGACAATGTGGAAAATGTGATGTCTGCGTGGTGAGAGCAAAGGTGGGAGTGGGAGCAGGAAACTTGCAAGTCCAGCCGGGGAGGGTTTCATAACTTCACATAGTAATCTTAGTTCCGGCTAACACTGAAATGAACGTTGGGCCAATAAACTCTTCCTTTGTAAATGGAAAGAATACCATGACTACTACTTTGCTTTTGAAAACCTTATCAGCTTTACAGAGCTGAGGTTATGTGATCGGGTCCAATATGTGACACATTCGCCACGTTAGTTAAGTGGACCTGCAGCAGCCTGGACGTCCACATGCCGGGCTTGAGTCCTCCTCCAGATCCTACTGTCATCTAGAGATCTGGTTTTGACCTAAGTTGCGTGGCAGAGAAGTCACCATGAACTGAACTATCTTAGTCACCATTCTGTTGCTGTGAAAAGACACCGTGATCAAGGCAATACTCATAAAAGAAAGCATTTAATTGGAGGCTGGCTTACAGTTTTGAGGGGTGGTCCATTATTATCATTGTAGCGGCATGGCTGCATGCATGGTGCTGGAGCAAAACTGAGAGCTGCATCCTGACCTGCAGAGGGGGGGGGGGGGCTGGGCCTGGCATGAGCTTCTGAGATTTCAAAACCCACCCAATGTGACACTGTCTCCAACAAGGCCACACCTCCTAATCCTAATCTTTTCCTAATCCTAATGATTAAGCATTCAAATCAAATACATGAGCTGATGAGGACCATTCTTCTTAAACCACCACCTGAACCATTGCCAGCCTTCAGTAAATATTTATTAACAGGTTGTCAGTCTGGTGAATGGGCTGGATCAAACTGTAGGTGATAACCCTGTCTGTAGCTGAACAAGGAAAGGTCTGCCTAGACCCCAAGGACATTCCAGCACTCATTAAAGCAACTGGGTCTGTGTTTTCCAGGAGCCCACTAAGGCATAGGTTCTGCTGTCTAGACACCCTTACCAAGAAAAATATACTCATTTGTTTCTTGCTTGCTTTGTTCCCCAAGTACAAATTTAACTCCCATTGTCTCCTGAGAAATGTGCATACAAACACTTGCCGCTGAGAAGGACAAGCCAAGAGCAGATTTGCAAGACAGGCATAGAGGACTCTGAGCTGGACCTTAGCAATCGGCAGGAATCTCCCTGCCAGGTGGGGAGGATGGAGCATGGACCTCCAGCAAGAGACCAGTGGCTCTGATCCACAACCCAGCTGCTACCGAGAAGTAGGAAAGAAAAGTTTCAGGCAGAGAGGCGCAGGCGGAGCAGAGAGGCGCAGGGCACATGTTCCAAGTCCTGGCTGACAATCTCTTCCCTCCTTTTCAGAGGAAAGCTAGCCGGCTGCTGAAGGGTGAGGACAGAAACAAGGTTGGCAGCAGGAGCATTGGCCTGGACACCAGCGGGTCCCAAACAGCAGATGGCCGAGCCCCTCTTGAGGAGGGCCCCCTCTCCCCCTCCAGAGAGTGTTGGACCAAGGAGGAGCGGCCAACACAGAGCGACAGCTTCTTGGGGTTCAGCAGCAGTGACAGTGTCCTCCGGGAACTGGATGACGGACAGTTTGACCAGGAAGATGGCGTGACACAGGTCACTTGCATGTGAGCAGCCAAGTGAAGCGAAGCTATGGAAGGCTTTGTGAATAGTTATTAAAATGACTGCCCGCTGACCTTATTTAACTACTACTATGCATTTATGTAATGCTTTTAACTTCCAGGCTCAGCCTTCCCCTACTCTGTATAAACTTTGTCTCAGTCTCTCAGACAAGGAAGAATAACCAACTATTTATCAATGTAAAAGCCCATGCTTGCATTTCTCTCAACTAAAACATCTGTGGAAACAGATGTCCCAACTGGTCACTAAACAGCAGCCTGGCTCATTTCCTCATGAATGGACAAATCAGTATTTCTCATCATGCCTGTTTTTAAAAACTGACTATCCGAATTGCTATTTCAGCCAATTAGAACCTTCTCAGGAAGCTACAGCCTCACTTAAACTCAAAAATGTTCTCTCTCCACCTCTGTCCCTCTCTCACATACCCAGACTATTGTCCCTGCTTGTAACTGTCTCACTTTGGTCTCTGTGGCAAGTACCTACAAGCCAAGCCCCTATTTGTCAAAATAGTCTTCAAAAATATTTTCTGGTTTTTGTTTGTTTGATGTTTGTTTATTTGTTGTATGTTTGAGATAGGGTTTCTCTGTGTAGCTCTGGCTGTCCTGGAATTCACTTTGTAGACCAGGCTGACCTCAAACCCAAGGAGATCCACCTGCCTCTGCCTTCCCGGTGCTGGGATTAGAGGCGTGGGCCACCACTGCCAGACTCGTCTTGTCTTTCAAAGGGCAGCCACATGGCCAGTCCTGCAATGAATCATTAGCATTGAAATTATTGATCCCAATAGCTTACCAGTGACACTAAACAGAACAAATGTCCTAAGGCAGTCGAGGGCTGGCAAGATGACTCAGCCAGTGAAGGCACTCAACACACATGCCTCGTGACCTGAATTCAACGTCTGGAACCTATGTAAGGGCAGAAAGAGAGACCCACTTCTGCAAAGTTGTCCTCTAACCTCCACAAGTATGCCATAGTACTTGGGCCTGCATGTCCGTGTGCGTGCATAGTAAAACTAAGATTTTGAAAAGTCAGAAAGAGACAAGCCGGGTATTGGTGGCACATGCCTTTAATCCCAGCACTTGGAGGCAGAGGCAGAGGCAGGGGCAGGTAGATCTCTGTGATTTCAAGGCCAGCCTGGTCTACAGAGTGAGTTCCAGGACAGGCTCCAAAGCAATAAAGAGAAACCCTGTCTCTAAAAATCAAAAATAAAGTCAGAAAGAAAGCCCACAATCTCAATGTGTAAAAGCAATAGTAGATGGAAACATTTCATTTCTGTTGAGCATGTTGGCACACCTTTAATCCCAACACTTGGCAGGCAGAGATAGGCAGATCTCTGTGAGACCTAGGGTGGCTACACAGTGAGACCCTATCTCAAAAAAACAAGATTTACCTTTCTTTCTTTAAATTTGCCAATGCCATTGAAGAGGACAGACATCAACTTCAGATGGAAGTGTGCCTCCTGTGACTGTTGGATTCAAAGTGTGTTTTTGCCTTGACATGTTAACCATGGAAAGTGTTGCAACCCAGAATCCTCAGTTCTGCAGCAGTAGAGAGGGGCTCACAGCCCACAAGATGTGTGCAGACTGACCTACCGTATGCCCACCACCAGGGACGTCTCTATCTTCCATCTTTACCTAACAGAGATGAATCTGCTAGAAAACAGGGGATTTTCATTTACCTATGAAAGGCTGGCCTCCAAAAGAATTACAGTCGACTATGTCATTAAGTAACTCACACATTATATATTTTTATTGGTGTGATGTGGACATTGTGAGTCATTTGAATAATAAACTATTTGTTATTAACCTGTTGTCTTATGGAACACAAATATGTCCATATTTTATTTTGCTTTTGCTTGGTTTTGTTTTTTCTTTTTTTTCTTTCTTTCGGTTTGTTTTTATTTTTGTTTTTTGGGGAGGGGGTATAGAAACAGGGTTTCTCTGTGTAGCCCTGGCTGTCCTGGAACTCACAGATCTGCCTCCCTCTGCTGCCCAAGTGCTAGGATTAATGACATGTGCCACCACCCAGCCCTCACTTTGTTTTTTGAGACAGTCTTGCTACTTGTAGCTCTGGAACTCATAGCAGTCCTCCTGCCTCAGCTTCCTTAGTGCTGGGATTACAGGTCTTACGCCACCATACCTGGCTTTCATATGTCATACATATAGGACAGTATGTATTGTATGTCATATTAGTGTATCCAGACTAAGCCACTCTCCATGGGTTTGTAGTGAGGTCACAAGACTGAGCGCTCATCTGTTATTCCGAAGCCTCATTGTACACAGTGCATGTTATGAATGGTGAGTGAGGGACAAACACAGCCAGGCAGATAGAACTTAAGTGGGGAGTTTTACCGGGGGGAAGGGAAGGGAATGGGGAAAGGAAAGAGAGAGAAGGAGAGAGAAGAGACAAGAAAAATCCTGCCTGCCCCTTTAGAGGAACAGCAGGAAAGAGAGTGGGAATGGGAGGACTTTGTCTCTTAAAGGGACATTTGCACCTACACATAGCCATGGTACTGCTTGCCATGTGCAGAGTGGTGGGCACTCAGCCAGGTTCCCCAAGGGGCAGGGCCAAGCTTAAGCTGGATGATAAGAGTTCATGCTGCTCAGTAGGCATATCTGTCAGTGCCGTGGGAAGGGGAAGGGGGTTACCTTCTTTTTTAGATGAACCTGGGTTATATATCCAGATTGGTAAGTAGGGCCTAGTGGGACACCCCTGCAATCCAAGCACTCAGGAACTTGGCACAGGAGGATCCAAGGTCTTTGTTGGTGGTGGTAGTTTTTGCTTTTGAGGCTGGCCTGTGCTATAATGACCAATCAGTGAACTTCTGATGAAAACATTCATTACTTCAAAACTCTGCAACATGCCCTGCAACTCTGCAACATGCTCAGAAAGATGGGGCAGTTGTGGGAGAGAGGCTTGTACACTTCTGTTGGAGCACAGAGAGGATCTGAAGCAATAAGAGCTGTGTGCAGCAGGCAGTAGGGGCCATGGAAACAGAGAATGGGTGATGGGGGAGGAGGACAAAAAATAAAAATAAATTATTCTGCTGGCAGTGGCGCACGCCTTTATCCCAGCACTCCCAGATAGAGGCAGGCGGATCTCTGACTTTGAAGCCAGCCTGGTCTACAGAGTGAGTTCTAAGACAGCCAGGGCTACACAGAGAAACCCAGTCTCAAAATAAAATAATAAAGTCCCCATGCTAGTCAAAAACTACACCACTGAGCCCCAAGCCTCTAAACAACCCCACCCCATATAACCCTTTATTGCATTTTTAGACAGAGTCTACTATAGCCCAGGCTGCCCTTGAACTATGCAACTGAATTCCTGATCCTCTTGCCTCTATCTCCCATTTACCAATCCTCTTTTTAGTTTTTATTTTGAGACAGGTTCTCACTAAGTTGCCAAGGCTGGCTTTGAACTTGCTACACAGATAATGTTAGACTCCAACTTAGTCTTCCACCACCAGACTCAGGCTTAATAACAGACAGAGAAGGCCATGTCTGCAGTGTGTTCTTTACTCTCCAAGCTTCTGGCTCTCCCCTGTGACAGGATGCATGTCCACCCTCTTACAGACTCGCCTATTTAACACACACTAATTGACCCATGACCAGGTGCTTTGCCAGACACTTTTGCCCTTGCAGAATCAATAATAGGTTGACTATCAGGAGAGACAAAATAGTAAATTAATAGTTATACACCTCTGGTGCCCTGGTGCACACCTATCATCTCAGAACAATGGAGACAGCTGATTGTGCTGAACATACAAGGCTAGCCTAGTCTACATAGCAAGTTCCAGTCTAGTCAGGCATACACAGCAAGATCCTGTCTTTTAAAAAAATTAATAATGCAAGGCTGGCATGGTGGCACATGCCTTTAATACCAGCACTTGGGAGGCAGAAGCAGGCATATTCCTGAGTTCAAGGCCAATCTGGCCTACAAAGTGAGTTCCAGGACAGCCAGGGCTACACAGAGAAACCCTGTCTTGAAATTAATAATACAAATAGTTAAGCACTTCAGGTGATAAGGACAAGGTCAAACATCTAAGTACAGCTCACAGCAGAGACTTGCATGCTCAGGCTTGGGGAAGCCTCTGGAAGCAAGCAGTGCTTGATAGGATGCAGCTCTGATAAGTGTAGTTGTGTTGCAGGGTGATGAGCTAAGAACGTCTTTGCCATCACAGGGTCATGGCTGACACTCTCACAACAGACAGGAGAGCAAGAGAAAAGCAAAAACAACCTATTCGGAAAGCTTTATGTGACCCAGAAGTATCCAGAAATTAAGGCTCAGATACACAGGAGAATTGGGATGCACCCTAACGCTGATGAAGGAAGTGGGGAACATTTTACAAACTACAATCTGACGGTGAGAACCAGTGGGGATTTAGCAGGATCTACTTGTTTGGGTCCTCCCTTCCTGGGCAGTGCTGGGCAGGCCCTTTCAGGAAGGCAGGTCAGAGCAATCCTTCTAGGTCTCCTGGCTACTTTAGGGGGCAGGAATAGTGGCTTCTAGGTCACAGCTGATAGGGAAGGAAAGGAAAAGAGAATAGGAGTTAAGAAGCAAGAGGACCCTTGTTTCTGAGGCCTCCCAGTCTCAAGTTCAAAGCACTCAACAGGCTATCATTTGATGAGCCCACATTGTTATGAAACCACATAACGGAACGTTTTAAATGCAAGCACCATAGAAGTTTCAGAGCCACCCAATGCTTTCAGACATGAGAAAGTATCTACGTTGGTTTTATGATATGACAACCACAAAACATACAGCTCTAAAGGCAGACACAGTGGTTCACACCTGTAGTCCCAGCACTCCGGACACTGAAGCAGGACAATTGCCGTGAGTTTGAGGCCAGCATGGCTACACAGTAAGTTCTAGGCCAACCTGGACTATAGACACTCTATGTAGAAAAGAAGGAAGGAAGGAAGGAAGGAAGGAAGGAAGGAAGGAAGGAAGAGAAAGAGGGAAAGGGAGGGAGGGAGGGAAGGGGGCAGAGAGAGACAGAAGAAAGAGGAAGGTAAGCAGGCACAATGCCTCACATCTGTTATCCGCGGTACTTTGGCAGTAGA